TAGAACTATGAAAGTAGATCAGACAACTGATCCAGCTAGAAGCTGCAACCAGGATCTAGATCTGGACCTTCAGAGGCTCAGAGAGACAGGAACACAGTGTAGCTTCTACCTGAAGAACATCTGCAGGATTAAAGGACTGATGCTGAAAAACTACTTCCTGCTTCTTTGGTAGAATTGATCCCTGCAGCAATCTATCTGTACAGAACTAGAACTATAGAAAGTAGATCAGACAGCTGATCCAGACGCCGCTGCCTGCGTCCTCACTAGAACTATAGAAAGTAGATCAGACAGCTGATCCAGACGCTGCTGCCTGCGTCCTCACTAGAACTATAGAAAGTAGATCAGACAGCTGATCCAGACGCTGCTGCCTGCGTCCTCACTAAAAGCTATAGAAAGTAGATCAGACAGCTGATCCAGACGCTGCTGCCTGCGTCCTCACTAGTAACTAAGGAAAGTAGATTCAGACAGCTGATCCAGACGCTGCTGCCTGCGTCCTCACTAGAACTATAGAAAGTAGAGTCTGTCTAATCAGTGGACTCAGACCAATATTAACGAGTTAACGAGGTTTCATAACTAGTGGTCTGGACTCACCCTGGACAGGACCACCTCCAGGCTGATGTTCTGAGGAGGAGCGCTGGGAGCTGCAGAGACACAAACACAGAATCAGAGCCGTTATCTGGAAACCTGTTCAGACTCAGTCCATGCTGGTTTGGATCCTGTGCTGCAGATCTAGGCTCTCTGCTCAGTTTTTACATTCATATATTCTAAAACTTGAAAAGCTGCAGCTTCATCTCAGGATCTTCCACATTTAAAAGAAAAGTCGCTCATATTCAGAATCCAAACTTCTGAAAGTTCTTTAAATCTGAAATGATTCCATCCTGTTCAATAAATGATCAGTGTTTTTAATTCAGAGTAATTTTCATGTGAATGTGCTTTACTGGAGGCATCCATGTTTGTCAAAGAACACTACTGCCACCTACTGGTTAGTGACATTGTCACGGTGCGGTATCGGCTGTTGATCAAGTCCCAGTGCTGTATCTGGTGTTTTTTTCCACTTTTCCCCGATGTATTCCAGCATCCAGCTGCCATGCACGTGGGCATTGTCAGTTTCACTATAGCTCTGGTGAATTTCAATGGTGAAGTCCTCTGGAAATCTTCAATAATTGTTGTTGATTGCAGATGTGTCTAGTAGTTCCCATTGATTTAGCTTGGAAAGCGGGGAGAATGGCGCTAGGCTTACCGCACCGTGACGTCACTGCTGGAAGATGGCAGGAGGGAGGGGCTACTATATTTGGGCAAAGATGGCCGCTTCCAGACTCAGTGATTTAGTTTTTTACTCAATAATGCTAAATTCATTAAATCACAGCGAACGTATAACGTTAAGGTATAAATAATGATCCATGGATTAATCCTGCTGACTGAACTTTTCCTTTAAAGGACTGAATCTGCTCCATCCGTCTCCACCGTGTTTCAGCGTCAGTCTGCAGACTGATGGAGATCTACTGATTAAACCTGGAGGGGCGGGAAGACTGTGGACTCGAAGCTCATTGGCTGTCTGTTCCAACCTTGTCTCAAATGATAAAACCTGATGTCATCAGAATGTTGAAGACGGTTCTTTATGGAAGTGTTCTGACTGAAGGCCGTTTGCTTCCTAAGCCCCGCCTCTCGGTAAGCAGATGTTGGGCTGAAGAACTTCCTGTTGAGGAAAGGAAGCGAGGAAGCTGTTCCTCCTGCTCCTTTATGTTCTACATTTGAACAGAAGGTTGTTTCCAGGAGCTGCAGTGCAGGATGGTCCCCGGTTCAAATCCCAGCTGCAGCTCCATGTGGATGTGGCGGTTCCCTCAGACGTTCCGCCTCTCTGGTTCCCTCTAACTGGTTCCCAGTGTCTCCTGCTGGTTTTTAAAGCTGTCTGGGTTCAGCAGCTGATCCAGAAGCAGCGCCAGGTGACGTTCGGCCCGTTCGCTGCACTAACCTTCAGGTCAGACAGGATGTGAGGAATCAGCAGCATGGACTCAGAAACCTGCTGAGGGGGTTAGGGTCAGGATCTGCCTGACGACAGGAAGCAGGCGGCGCTGCTGACCAGAGCCTCCGGGCCGGATCAGCCCGGTTCTGCTGCTGGAGGAGCAGATTGATGCCTGGGTCTAAACCAATGAGACGTTCCCATTAACAGACATAGGCTCTGGTCTTTAGCAGTCGTCCAATCAGATGCCTGATGGCGTATCGGCGCCGTCAGCTGCTCCTGCTTTATGGACGATGCAATTAGCCCAGCCGTCCCACTTATCGCAGCGCCACAGATGGCAGATCCACAAAACGCCTCAGTGTGTCGGTTATTACTCACGCCGTTTATGGGCCCAACCCCCCCACTCTTCTTCTGGGGTTTATTGATGGCAGCTCAGAGCTGCTGTCGGCGCCGCCGTCTGGAGGCCGTTATCTGGTTCTGATTGATGGGAGGAGCAGAACCTGAGCGTAAACGCGGTCCTGGATCGGTTCTCTGCCGGTTCTGCTCCAGGATGAGGAGTTCTGCTCTGCAGCAGGACATCCTGAAGGAGCGACCCCCCATCAGTCAGTCATTAAAGCTGGAGCCTGGAAGGTTCTGGAACAGAACCAAAGCTGGAAGGTTCTGGAGCAGAACCAAAGCTGGGAGGTTCTGGAACAGAACCAAAGCTGGAAGGTTCTGGAGCAGAACCAAAGCTGGAAGGTTCTGGAGCAGAACCAGAGCTGGAAGGTTTTGCAGCAGAACCAAAGCTGGAAGGTTCTGGAGCAGAACCAAAGCTGGGAGGTTCTGGAGCAGAACCAATGCTGGAAGGTTCTGGAGCAGAACCAAAGCTGGACGGTTCTGGAGCAGAACCAGAGCTGGAAGGATTTGCAGCAGAACTAAAGCTGGAAGGTTCTGGAGCAGAACCAAAGCTGGGAGGTTCTGGAGCAGAACCAGAGCTGGAAGGTTCTGGAGCAGAACCAGAGCTGGAAGGTTTTGCAGCAGAACCAAAGCTGGGAGGTTCTGGAGCAGAACCAAAGCTGGAAGGTTCTGGAGCAGAACCAGAGCTGGAAGGTTTTGCAGCAGAACCAAAGCTGGAAGGTTCTGGAGCAGAACCAGAGCTGGAAGGTTTTGCAGCAGAACCAAAGCTGGGAGGTTCTGGAGCAGAACCAAAGCTGGAAGGTTCTGGAGCAGAACCAGAGCTGGAAGGTTTTGCAGCAGAACCAAAGCTGGAAGGTTCTGGAGCAGAACCAGAGCTGGAAGGTTTTGCAGCAGAACCAAAGCTGGGAGGTTCTGGAGCAGAACCAAAGCTGGGAGGTTCTGGAGCAGAACCAAAGCTGGACGGTTCTGGAGCAGAACCAAAGCTAGAAGGTTCTGGAGCAGAACCAAAGCTGGAAGGTTCTGGAGCAGAACCAAAGCTGGGAGATTCTGGAGCAGAACCAAAGCTGGGAGGTTCTGGAGCAGAACCAAAGCTGGACGGTTCTGGAGCAGAACCAGAGCTGGAAGGTTTTGCAGCAGAACCAAAGCTGGGAGGTTCTGGAGCAGAACCAGAGCTGGAAGGTTTTGCAGCAGAACCAAAGCTGGAAGGTTCTGGAGCAGAACCAAAGCTGGACGGTTCTGGAGCAGAACCAAAGCTGGGAGGTTCTGGAGCAGAACCAAAGCTGGGAGGTTCTGGAGCAGAACCAAAGCTGGACGGTTCTGGAGCAGAACCAAAGCTGGGAGGTTCTGGAGCAGAACCAAAGCTAGAAGGTTCTGGAGCAGAACCAAAGCTGGAAGGTTCTGGAGCAGAACCAAAGCTGGGAGATTCTGGAGCAGAACCAAAGCTGGGAGGTTCTGGAGCAGAACCAAAGCTGGGAGATTCTGGAGCAGAACCAAAGCTGGGAGGTTCTGGAGCAGAACCAAAGCTGGGAGGTTCTGGAGCAGAACCAAACCTGGAAGGTTCTGGAGCAGAACCAAAGCTGGGAGGTTCTGGAGCAGAACCAAAGCTGGGAGATTCTGGAGCAGAACCAAAGCTGGGAGGTTCTGGAGCAGAACCAAAGCTGGGAGGTTCTGGAGCAGAACCAAAGCTGGAAGGTTCTGGAGCAGAACCAAAGCTGGACGGTTCTGGAGCAGAACCAAAGCTGGGAGGTTCTGGAGCAGAACCAAAGCTAGAAGGTTCTGGAGCAGAACCAAAGCTGGGATGTTCTGGAGCAGAACCAGAGCTAGAAGGTTGTGGAGCAGAACCAAAGCTGGGAGGTTCTGGAGCAGAACCAAAGCTGGGAGGTTCTGGAGCAGAACCAAAGCTAGAAGGTTCTGGAGCAGAACCAAAGCTGGGAGGTTCTGGAGCAGAACCAGAGCTAGAAGGTTCTGGAGCAGAACCAAAGCTGGGAGGTTCTGGAGCAGAACCAAAGCTAGAAGGTTCTGGAGCAGAACTAAAGCTGGGAGGTTCTGGAGCAGAACCAAAGCTGGGAGGTTCTGGAGCAGAACCAAAGCTAGAAGGTTCTGGAGCAGAACTAAAGCTGGGAGGTTCTGGAGCAGAACCAGAGCAGGAAGTTTCTAGAGCAGAACCAGAGCTGGAAGGTTCTAGAGCAGAACCAAAGCTGGAAGGTTCTGGAGCAGAACCAAAGCTGGAAGGTTCTAGAGCAGAACCAAAGCTGGAAGGTTCTAGAGCAGAACCAGAGCTGTAAGGTTCTAGAGCAGAACCAAAGCTGGAAGGTTCTGGAGCAGAACCAAGGCTGGAAGGTTCTAGAGCAGAACCAAAGCTGGGAGGGTTCTGGAGCAGAACCAGAGCTGGAAGGTTCTGGAGCAGAACCAGAGCTGGAAGGTTCTGGAGCAGAACCAAAGCTGGAAGGTTCTAGAGCAGAACCAGAGCTGGAAGGTTCTGGAGCAGAACCAGAGCTGGAAGGTTCTGGAGCAGAACCAAAGCTGGAAGGTTCTGGAGCAGAACCAAAGCTGGAAGGTTCTAGAGCAGAACCAAAGCTGGACGGTTCTGGAGCAGAACCAGAGCTGGAAGGTTCTGGAGCAGAACCAAAGCTGGAAGGTTCTGGAGCAGAACCAGAGCTGGAAGGTTCTGGAGCAGAACCAGAGCTGGAAGGTTCTGGAGCAGAACCAAAGCTGGAAGGTTCTAGTGCAGAACCAAAGCTGGAAGGTTCTAGAGCAGAACCAAAGCTGGAAGGTTCTAGAGCAGAACCAAAGCTGGAAGGTTCTGGAGCAGAACCAAAGCCGGAAGGTTCTAGAGCAGAACCAAAGCTGGAAGGTTCTAGAGCAGAACCAGAGCTGTAAGGTTCTAGAGCAGAACCAAAGCTGGAAGGTTCTGGAGCAGAACCAAAGCTGGAAGGTTCTAGTGCAGAACCAAAGCTGGAAGGTTCTGGAGCAGAACCAAAGCTGGAAGGTTCTAGTGCAGAACCAAAGCTGGGCAGGTTGTGGAGCAGAACCAGAGCTGGAAGGTTCTGGAGCAGAACCAAAGCTGGAAGGTTCTGGAGCAGAACCTGGACCTGCAGCAGCAGTTGGAGCCGCTCCTGGTCCTCAGGTCCACTAATGAAACTCCTGAGAGCTAAAGAGGCTCCTCCCACAGAGCCTGGTGAACCAGGAAGTGCTCTCCAATAACTCCGCCCTGCTTGGTGACTGGGACCAGCAGCAGCCATGATTGCTAACCATAAACCTAACGGACCGCAGAGGAGGGGAGTAGGAACGAAGTATTCGTTTTCTGTCCCACATCTGGTGCTTTCTGGGTCATTCTGGAGCAAACCAGTGGATAAACTGGAAAATATTTTATTTTAACAAATAAAACCTTAATCGACCCCCTTTTTATTCTGAGACCCTGAAAAAGTGCAGGAAAGGATAAAATCCTGCAGTTAGACTGGAAACACAGGAGCTGAGGAGGAAAGCAGAGTGATGGCAGTATCATGCTGATGGATTCCCTTCCTTCTTCTGGGAGAATAACCGCATTTTTATTCTGTTTCACAGGTTTTGGTCTAAAGGAGAAAATATGTGAAACCTCTGATGTTCTTCTGAGCTTCTACCCTGCATAGATCTAGAACACTCTACCTAATGTGGTTCTGTTAGACCCTGGTAAGAGCATCACATCATCATTTAAAGAAGCTAACTGGTTGGTTTTAGCGGCAGAGGAAGGTCCAACCAGCCTCTGAGGTTCTTGTCAGCAGATGGAAGGTGGTGATTGGCTGGGAGAACGAGGCTCACCGTCTGAGTGGGTGGTCACTCTGACGGTCTCAGAGGCGGTTCCCGGTCCGTACCGGTTGATCGCCAGAACCCGGACCGTGTATTCGGTGAACTTGTTGAGTCCATCCATCTTGTAGTTGAGTCCGCTGACCTCCACACTCTGAAAACAGAGCAGGGATTGAAACAGATCCAGTCAGCGTCCGTCCCACAAGCAGAACCCGTCCAGATGCTCACCTGTTCCTTTCCAGACGGGCTCTCGGTCCACAGCAGTCTGTAGCCCAGGATGGGTCCGTTTGGAAGGCTTGGAGGCTCCCAGCTCACCTGGATGGCGGTCGGGGACAGAGCCAGGGCTCGCAGAGACTCCACCTGGCTGGGGACCTGGACTGTGGGACACAGGGAGACAAAACTGCTGTAAGACAGACGGAGAGGCTGGTTGGACCTGGAACCAGTTTAATCACATCACCTGGAAACCGGAGGTTTGAAAGCCAACTGTTCGTTCCAGCCCTAACTTTGTTTTCAGGTGAACCCAGTGGGATTGTTGGTAAACTTCTAGAAGAATCTCAGATGATTTCTATGGACCAAACACCTTGAGCTCCAGTCCTACAGAAACGCCGTCCACCAACCTTTAGACACGTCCCTGAATCTAAAGGACGGCAAGTCTCTGTCCAGAGATAGGGACCTCCTGCCAGTGACCTCTGGAGATGTTCTGACCTTCCATCCATCAAACACACACCTGGATCACATCGTTAGCTACCTATCTGAGCTCTGGATCTATGAGGAGTAATCCAGCTGTGTTAGAATGCTAACAGGATCAGATTGGTTACTATTGGCTCACAGAAACCTGGCTGCAGCAAGAGGATTATGTGAGCACCAATGAGGCAACTCCTTCTAGATATTTAACTTTTCACATCCCCAGAAGTTCTGGGCGAGGAGGAGGAGTAGCAGCAATCTTTGTATCGTCCACCAGGTCCTTACTCTGAATGTTTAGATGAGTTTTCAGAGTTCCTTTCTGATTTGGTATTAAATACTGACAGGGTCATCATAGTGGGAGATTTTAACATCCATGCTGACATTGAAGGCGATAGCTTAAGAGCAGCCTTTAATGCTATCTTAGACACTATTGGCTTTGTTCAAAATGTGAATAGTCCCACGCATTCTCATCTTCATACTTTGGATCTTGTGCTGACATACGGCATAGAATGTGAAGAAATAACAGGATTTCCTCTCTGACCACTTTCTAATAACCTTCAGGATTATTTTATCAGAGTTCTCCTCCCCCAGAATGATTAGCAGATCGTTATTAGATAGTGCAGTTCTAAATATTAAAGAACCTCTTCCCCTTTCTCTCCCCTCTGTAATTTATTCTCCTTTACAGGTTGATGGTTTTGTTGCTGGTGTGAGGGATTGCTGTATCAATTAAAAACAGTGCAATCTGATATCTACTGTCTCTACCTGCTCATCAAGGACAGAGAATCCTTCAAAGTCAACGAGTCAATGCAAACATTTCGTCTGATTGATTTGTTTGTGTAAAGTGACGACATGTTGTTAATTGATGCTATAGAAATAACCCTGACAGAACTGAACATGAATTGAATGGCGGGTGGTTCTCATGTGTTTCTCATCTTTAGCTGCATCAGAGGCAGATCTGTGGCGCAGATCTAGAAGAAGGACACAGCTTCCTCTCCTCACAGCATGCCGGCTCCTCTTTCCCACGTTAAAGATGAATAAGTGAGATTCTGGGGCTTCGAAATACATGAACTCAGATAAAAAGTTGGAGCTTCAGCGCCTCTCTGGGAGATCAGGCTGCTCTAGATCTAATCTAGGGTGACCAAACGTCCGTATTTCCCGGGACATATCCGTATTTCACGTCCTGTCCCGGGCGTCCCGGGTTTTTTTTAGAAAGTGAGGAAATGTCCTGATTTCACTGCGCACGACGCTCCGTGTGACGTAATCCCTGAGCCGCGTCAGTGCGGGCAGCCCTGTTCTTAATCAGAGGCTCTGTTCAAAAACCTGGGCTGCATCCTCCAAGGACGCGGTCTACCTAGACTGGATCCTTCGAAGTCCTTGAAAATAAGGAGACCGGAAGAGTTTTGGCTGTAAATTCGAACAGGTCCACCCTTTGGCGGGTTTTATCGCCGTATGCTCTGTTGCTTAGCAACCGTGAAAGTTGACACACAAAGCAGGAAAAGAATGAATACCGAGGTTTTCAAAACTGTTTGTTTATTTATTTATTTTTTAAAAAGTTAAAGTGAAAAAAGACTACACTCAAGAATCCAGAGTGGAATAAAGGTTCCAACCAGCAGGAACTAATCAAATCAAATGTAATGATAGAAACCTTAGTCAGTTAAATAACCTGCTGCTGTCATTCTGCACATCTCTGATGTTGCTGCTATTTTCAAATATCCATTCCTGTAAAAATGTTCATAGCTGCATATTGGTTATTTATTCCCCAGTTTTATATTGTTAAAACACTTTACAGGATTTTATTGTTTATATTTTAACTCTTCCCTATTATGTTATTCTTATACATTTTTCTAAGGTCCTCATTTGTGTGACCATTTTCAATAATCTTTCTGCTGCTGTAAATTTGCCCATTGTGGGACAATAAAGGGATTTTCTATTCTATTCTATAAAAGGGGTAGAAAGATATAAGTATACTTATATCTAAACAATGTATCTACAAAATATATCTGCAAAATCTCTAATATTCAACAACAAAAAATACTTAGTTAAGCATATTGTGCAAAACAACAATAAAAAAATTAAAATTCTATCAGATTTATAGTCCCCCCCCTGCAGATCTATTAGAATCTGTCCTTTAATTCCAGCCAAATCCATTTACACAGTAACAGATTAAAACCTTTAGATAAACCAAACATTACCGCCACATATCTGACTCTATAACCATTAAAACAACTATTTTCATTCATTTCAGACGGAACTATTCACAGACTGGATTATATTAAACTGAACTTCAAATTTTCACAACTGTTCTGCGCCAAGTAACATTTCCTCTGATCACTGAGCAAATCCCGATGATGAGGCATTAGACATTTGTTCTTTCAATATCACCCCCCCCGCCCCCCCGCTCCAAGGTGTCCTGGTTTTCCCAAATGAAAATATGGTCACCCTATCTAATCTATAAACACATTCTAGTTTAATATCTGCACTCTTGTTACCAGTCATGCTGAAAACTGCAGCTAAAAGGTCTGACTAGAAACTTTAAATCTATAAACACATTCTGTCTGATCGGGGGGGAAGGAAAACATTTTTATCTAGAAGCAGAAAACTGGAGCTAAAGACAAGAGAAGAGATGAGGGCTTACGGTCGGGTTGGGTGGCGATCTTTAGGGGGGTGGAGCTCTCTCCAGGCCCCGCCTCGTTGTAGGCGACCACTCTGAAGCGGTAGGTCTCCTCTGGCTTCAGGTTGGAAACTGTCAGCTCCAGGGACTCTGGCTCCGACACGTTCACTGACCTCTCTCTGCAGTGGGAAAACATGCTGTCATGAATGAGCGCTCTCCGTTGTGGAGATAATCTGGGTGTTGATCAGCTGTAATCTGTGTAATCCTTCAGTCTGTGGCTAATCCACAGATTTTAGCGCCTCATTGGCTGATCAGAGCTGCAGCAGCAGGAACCATCAGGCTGTGGTTCAGCTAAAGGTGATGAAGCCGATGGTGAAGGCTTCATCACCGTACGCAGCCACTGAGCCTTCATCAGGGTTTAATTAGCTAGGGTCCTTTAAGCTAATGTAAGGGGGCGGAGCCTGCCTGAGGACATCCTGCGTACTGAAGGTGGCCTCCAGGGATCGCCGCTCTGAACCAAACGGTCACCTGGACGTTGATTTAAACGGAGAAACCTTCTGCTCCCTGAACTCATTCCTCCTCCTCTGGCTCTAGCTGCTCTGAGCAGCCCGCTTCGTCTCCAGGAGCCCGTCAGCTTCCCGTTTCCAAGGATACAAAGGCGTCCATGGTCGGTTAAGTCATTTCACTGATCGTTGGTTTAAGTTTCTTCATTTCAAACCAAAAGGCTGCTTCTGTTTGGAGGCCTGAGACAGAAAATGAGGAATGAAGCTGAAAAATTATCCCAGAGAAATGATCATTTTCTGCTCTTTTGACATCAAAAACCAACCAGTGTGAAAAACGAGGCATTTAAAGAGGCAGAAACCTCATTTAATCCACCTGAGTTCTCTGCAGTTTCCTGAAGATTGGATCCATTTTAACGTAAAACATCTCTTCCTGTTTCTCCCAGTGCTTTTCACTGGTTTCCTCTCAGACTCGTTTCCAGACGTTACCGAGGCTGAAAGACTCACTGAAACCTGCGATTCTAGCTGCTCCTATCCTGGTTCAGGGATGGACCGTCCCTGCTTGCTTCTTGAGAGCGACCGAACGCGACCTGCTGAGGGTGGGCTGGACGCCGGCGGCCCGCGTTCCGCTCACTCTGATGAAGTCCGGTCCAGTCAGCGGCCCGGCAGTCCACACTTCATATTGACTATGGGTATGCTGGCCTGATGACGTATGCTGGTCTGATGGGTATGCTGGTCTGATGGGTATGCTGGTCTGATGGGTATGCTGGTCTGATGGGGTATGCTGGTCTGATGGGGTATGCTGGTCTGATGGGTATGCTGGTCTGATGGGGTATGCTGGTCTGATGGGTATGCTGGTCTGATGGGGTATGCTGGTCTGATGGGTATGCTGGTCTGATGGGTATGGTGGTCTGATGGGGTATGCTGGTCTGATGGGGTATGCTGGTCTGATGGGTATGCTGGTCTGATGGGGTATGCTGGTCTGATGGGTATGCTGGTCTGATGGGGTATGCTGGTCTGATGGGTATGCTGGTCTGATGGGTATGCTGGTCTGATGGGGTATGCTGGTCTGATGGGTATGCTGGTCTGATGGGTATGCTGGTCTGATGGGTATGCTGGCCTGATGACGTATGCTGGTCTGATGGGTATGCTGGTCTGATGGGTATGCTGGTCTGATGGGTATGCTGGTCTGATGGGTATGCTGGCCTGATGGGTATGCTGGTCTGATGGGTATGCTGGTCTGATGGGGTATGCTGGTCTGATGGGGTATGCTGGTCTGATGGGTATGCTGGTCTGATGGGGTATGCTGGTCTGATGGGTATGCTGGTCTGATGGGTATGCTGGTCTGATGGGGTATGCTGGTCTGATGGGGTATGCTGGTCTGATGGGTATGCTGGTCTGATGGGGTATGCTGGTCTGATGGGTATGCTGGTCTGATGGGGTATGCTGGTCTGATGGGTATGCTGGTCTGATGGGTATGCTGGTCTGATGGGGTATGCTGGTCTGATGGGTATGCTGGTCTGATGGGGTATGCTGGTCTGATGGGGTATGCTGGTCTGATGGGTATGCTGGTCTGATGGGTATGCTGGTCTGATGGGGTATGCTGGCCTGATGACGTATGCTGGTCTGATGGGTATGCTGGTCTGATGGGTATGCTGGTCTGATGGGTATGCTGGTCTGATGGGGTATGCTGGCCTGATGATGTATGCTGGTCTGATGGGGTATGCTGGTCTGATGGGTATGCTGGTCTGATGGGGTATGCTGGCCTGATGACGTATGCTGGTCTGATGGGTATGCTGGTCTGATGGGTATGCTGGTCTGATGGGTATGCTGGTCTGATGGGGTATGCTGGTCTGATGGGTATGCTGGTCTGATGGGTATGCTGGTCTGATGGGGTATGCTGGCCTGATGACGTATGCTGGTCTGATGGGTATGCTGGTCTGATGGGTATGCTGGTCTGATGGGTATGCTGGTCTGATGGGGTATGCTGGTCTGATGATGTATGCTGGTCTGATGGGGTATGCTGGTCTGATGGGTATGCTGGTCTGATGGGGTATGCTGGCCTGATGACGTATGCTGGTCTGATGGGTATGCTGGTCTGATGGGTATGCTGGTCTGATGGGTATGCTGGTCTGATGGGGTATGCTGGTCTGATGATGTATGCTGGTCTGATGGGGTATGCTGGTCTGATGATGTATGCTGGTCTGATGGGGTATGCTGGTCTGATGGGGTATGCTGGTCTGATGGGGTATGCTGGTCTGATGATGTATGCTGGTCTGATGGGGTATGCTGGTCTGATGGGGTATGCTGGTCTGATGGGGTATGCTGGTCTGATGATGTATGCTGGTCTGATGATGTATGCTGGTCTGATGGGGTATGCTGGTCTGATGATGTATGCTGGTCTGATGGGGTATGCTGGTCTGATGATGTATGCTGGTCTGATGGGGTATGCTGGTCTGATGGGTATGCTGGTCTGATGGGGTATGCTGGTCTGATGATGTATGCTGGCCTGATGACGTATGCTGGTCTGATGGGTATGCTGGTCTGATGATGTATGCTGGTCTGATGGGGTATGCTGGTCTGATGATGTATGCTGGTCTGATGGGGTATGCTGGTCTGATGGGGTATGCTGGTCTGATGGGGTATGCTGGTCTGATGATGTATGCTGGTCTGATGGGGTATGCTGGCCTGATGGGTATGCTGGTCTGATGGGTATGCTGGTCTGATGATGTATGCTGGTCTGATGGGGTATGCTGGCCTGATGGGTATGCTGGTCTGATGGGTATGCTGGTCTGATGGGGTATGCTGGTCTGATGATGTATGCTGGTCTGATGGGGTATGCTGGCCTGATGGGTATGCTGGTCTGATGATGTATGCTGGTCTGATGGGTATGCTGGTCTGATGGGGTATGCTGGTCTGATGATGTATGCTGGTCTGATGGGGTATGCTGGCCTGATGGGTATGCTGGCCTGATGACGTATGCTGGTCTGATGGGTATGCTGGTCTGATGGGGTATGCTGGTCTGATGATGTATGCTGGTCTGATGGGGTATGCTGGTCTGATGGGGTATGCTGGTCTGATGGGGTATGCTGGTCTGATGGGGTATGCTGGTCTGATGGGTATGCTGGCCTGATGATGTATGCTGGTCTGATGGGGTATGCTGGTCTGATGGGGTATGCTGGTCTGATGACGTATGCTGGCCTGATGGGTATGCTGGCCTGATGACGTATGCTGGTCTGATGGGTATGCTGGCCTGATGGGTATGCTGGTCTGATGGCGTATGCTGGTCTGATGGGGTATGCTGGTCTGATGGGTATGCTGGCCTGATGATGTATGCTGGTCTGATGGGGTATGCTGGTCTGATGGGGTATGCTGGTCTGATGACGTATGCTGGTCTGATGGCGTATGCTGGTCTGATGGGTATGCTGGCCTGATGATGTATGCTGGTCTGATGGGTATGCTGGCCTGATGATGTATGCTGGTCTGATGGGGTATGCTGGTCTGATGGGGTATGCTGGTCTGATGGGTATGCTGGCCTGATGATGTATGCTGGTCTGATGGGGTATGCTGGTCTGATGGGGTATGCTGGTCTGATGACGTATGCTGGTCTGATGGGTATGCTGGCCTGATGGGGTATGCTGGTCTGATGACGTATGCTGGTCTGATGGGGTATGCTGGTCTGATGGGGTATGCTGGTCTGATGGGGTATGCTGGTCTGATGGGTATGCTGGCCTGATGATGTATGCTGGTCTGATGGGGTATGCTGGTCTGATGGGGTATGCTGGTCTGATGACGTATGCTGGTCTGATGGGTATGCTGGCCTGATGGGGTATGCTGGTCTGATGACGTATGCTGGTCTGATGGGGTATGCTGGTCTGATGGGGTATGCTGGTCTGATGGGGTATGCTGGTCTGATGGGGTATGCTGGCCTGATGGGTATGCTGGTTTGATGGCGTATGGTGGTCTGATGGCGTATGCTGGTCTGACAGAACCCTGCCAGTCATGATTCTACACCCTGTTTCCTGAAGCCCCGCCCCCCATGCTAAAACAGGCCCATAAGTTTGAAGCCGAAAGTAAAAAAATGACAATTTTAGTTTTTCAAATTTTTGGCCCCAGTTTAGCTCCATGGTTTATTGATGTTGGAATGTTGGACCTTCTAAGTAGTAGAGATTATTTACAGGCCAGAAGCCGATGATGGCTGCTATAATCTGTAATCTGTAATCTGTAATCCAACAACCAAGAATTAAACTTCCTTCTCATCCTACCTGTCAACTCCATCCTGGGAATAGTAAACGCCGTAGGTCTGCACGCCTCCGCCGCTCTCCTCTGGGGCGCGCCAGCTGAGCCGGACGAATCGGCTGGACACTAGTACAGGGACCAGGTCCCGGGGGGCAGAGGGGAGGGCTACGCCTGGGCTGGGGGACACTGGTGGGGGATCAGAGGAGGAGGAGTAAGTCAAAGGGGTGCCAGAAGGAGGAAGAGGGGTTGTGAGGGCGGGGCCATACTGAGTGGGTGTGGCCTCTGTTAACAGTTCATCCAGGAGGAAGGAAGGGATGATGAAGCGGGAGGGAGGAGAAGCATTTAAAGGACAACAAAAAGACGGGGGGGGGGGACAGGACGCAAGCAAGGGAGACAGGAAAATAAAAAGGGCCGATGATGTCAGCAAATAAAGGATGTAAAATAAAGTAAAAGAGACAAGAAGGAAGAGAAGGAGGAAGAAGAGTGGTAAAGAAGATCACAGAAGAAAACGCAGCATTTAAAGAGTTAATACATTCATCAACACATCTAGGAAGTATTAAAAAAAACATTTTATAAATGTTCTAATATATGAATGAATTATGAATAAAGCTGAGCTTAATAAATAAACCTTTGATCACTTAGGGTTAGACTTCTGAGCGACTGGGATTAAAATTAAATCAGCAACAATAAAACGTCATCGTTAAGAAAAATAATGGCGGATCAAACAGAAATCACAGCTGGATCAGTGTTAGCATGCTAATTAATGGCAACTGGATCTGTGTTAGCATGCTAATTAAGGGCAGCTGGATCAGTGTTAGCATGCTAATTAATGGCAACTGGATCAGTGTTAGCATGCTAATTAAGGGCAACTGGATCAGTGTTAACATGATAATTAATGGCAACTGGATCAGTGTTAGCATGCTAATTAAGGGCAACTGGATCAGTGTTAGCATGCTTATTAAGGGCAACTGGATCAGTGTTAGCATGCTAATTAAGGGCAACTGGATCAGTGTTAGCATGCTAATTAATGGCAACTGGATCAGTGTTAGCATGCTAATTAAGGGCAACTGGATCAGTGTTAACATGCTAATTAATGGCAACTGGATCAGTGTTAGCATGCTAATTAAGGGCAACTAGATCAGTGTTAGCATGCTAATTAAGGGCAACTGGATCAGTGTTAACATGCTAATTAATGGCAACTGGATCAGTGTTAGCATTCTAATTAAGGGCAACTGGATCAGTGTTAGCATTCTAATTAAGGGCAACTGGATCAGTGTTAACATGCTAATTAATGGCAACTGGATCAGTGTTAGCATGCTAATTAAGGGCAACTGGATCAGTGTTAGCATGCTAATTAAGGGCAACTGGATCAGTGTTAGCATGCTAATTAAGGGCAACTGGATCAGTGTTAGTATGCTAATTAATGGCAACTGGATCAGTGTTAGCATGCTAATTAAGGGCAACTGGATCAGTGTTAACATGCTAATTAATGGCAACTGGATCAGTGTTAGCATGCTAATTAAGGGCAACTGGATCAGTGTTAGCATGCTAATTAAGGGCAACTGGATCAGTGTTAGCATGCTAATTAAGGGCAACTGGATCAGTGTTAGTATGCTAGTTAAGGGCAACTGGATCTGTGTTAGCATCCTAATTAAGGGCAACTGGATCAGTGTTAGCATGCTAATTAAGGGCAACACTAGCATGATAGCGCTAGTCCTGCTGTTACCATTATTTTACAGACACTTTTGATAAAACATGCTAAAACACATTTAGCTAAGGTGCTAAAATAACTCAAGCAGGTGTTTCTGCTAGTAGATTAAAGCTAACTCTATGTAATTGTAAATCTAATGCAATGCTAAACTAGCACATGCTACAATTAATCACTAGGTTTTTAATACTTAGAAATCAGAACTTAAACCTAAATATTAACCCAAAACATGCTATAAAATAATTTCATTTAAATATACAGTGAGCTAAGCATTAGCATCCTCAAGCTAACCCCCTTATAGCATTAATCCTAAATTACTTTATATCAGGCTGAAAGTTCAAATGATAAATTGAAATCTTTAATTTCTACCTCACATATGTTATTTTATGATATTATTAAACTAAATTAGAAATTATTTGTTCAACATGTGGATGAGCTTGAGCTATTAGCATTAGCATGCTAAAGCTAACATCCTGAATTTATATCCATACTGAACTATTCAGCCTCTGTTTTTCTAATTTTTTATTTAATAATTTAAATTTGGATCAATGAAATTATATTTAATTATAATAACAATCAGTAAGTGTAGTTATGTGGAAAAATGTAAAAATAATCTCCATTATTTTCTATATTCGGGTGATTTTCAGAGAATTGAAGTAAAGAAGAATGAGCCCTACTAAAATACTTGCATCTTAAATAAACTTTAAACTAAGAATTTCACAACTATGTTTAATAATTATTCTCTGCAGTTCAAGTAAAATAACCAATGAGGAATGTTTTGGTTTAGATTTTCAGTCATTCAGGTCAGAATTATTCCAGGAAAGTTAAAATCAATCAACTCGACTTTGTTTCCAAGTTTGAAGACGTTTCTCTTCCCATCCTGGAAGCTTTTTTAATTCAAAATGAATTGAGGAATTTTCCTGTGTGGTTCCAGTGGATTGTTTTTAACTTTTGTGGAACCAACGGGGAACTAATAAGTTCTTACTGGATTACTGACACTAACAGGAACCAGAGCAATCGATTCCTGTTCAAACTACACTGTGCAGAATATTTGCTTATAGACTAAGGATTAAAAGTCTTCACTCATTATCTTATGTTTTTTTTTTTTTAACAATTGACAAACAGCTGAACCATTCAGACCTTCTGGGACGTTGTAGATTAAAACTCTCCTTTATTTATTCTTTTCCTTTATTGTGAAGCTCCTGATTGTTTGTGAGGCAAAGCTTTAAGAATGTAAACATCTGAGTTGGTTTGATTCATCCTAAATCTAAACCAGAGATTATTCAACTAGACTAAGCAATAATTATTTAATCTATGTGGGCTGCCACTGTGCGGCGCCAGGGAGCAGTGGGGGGTTAAGGGTCTTACTCAGGGACCCAGACTGGCAGTCTGTGGGAGTGGGACTCGAACTCAGGACCTCTTGATTCTTTGTCCTAACCACTAGGCCGCCCCCACCCCCCTTATTTTATTTCATACATATTTACTAAAGTAATACGTTGCTTCAAATCTTCATTCACTGACAAAGTGAATTATCTTATTCCAGATACGATGAGATAAAAGTTCAAATGACTGAACTAGTAATACGAGTAATACTAGTATTACTCGTATTACTAGTAATACGAGTAATACTAGTACCTGCCGGTCATTTTTCCATATATGGTGCAGTGAATAAGTGGGCTGGTGCAAATATACGGACTGGATCTGAGGCGGACCTTTCTTCATCTGTTAGCACGAAGGTTGTGTGGAAAACACGGTCTGGATTTTTATCAGCATGGTATTTTATACATAAGTGGAATGGAGTTGAGTTTAAATGTTATTTTTTAGCGTGTCAAACTGGATCTGGAGTGAGAGCGTGTGAACACACTGGGAGGCGTGAGTCTCACACCCAGTGGGTGAGAGCGGACGGCCCTCATCTTTGATTTGCTGTGAAACTGTAGAAGTGAAAACACCATGACCATTTTATAATGAAGTTATTTCTTTAGGTGTAGCCATAGCTGGTAAATAAAGCTATAAAATTTTAGCTTTTCTACGTTAACTGGAATTATTTCCCTAAATAAAATATATTTACATTAACATTAATGTTGTAGTAGCAGCTAGAGCGATGTGCTGCTAGCCCAGCTCATGGCGACATTAGTACGCTAAAGTTAGCATTAGCATACGCTATCAGCGCCACTCAGGCAGTGAGGTATCCGTCTTCATCCATGAGACGTGGCGTTAGTTTAAAGGCATATATCAGAAACAACGCGGCGCACAGCTCCATGAGAGAAAGCTAGCTAACCAAACATCCGGTTAGCATCAGTTCTCCTCACACACCTGCTTCACCTTTGACCTCCTCATCATCTCTGATCAGCTCTTCTGTTGGTTTACGAACTTCAGTCTTTAGTTCTAATACCGTTAATCAATCTTTCGGTTTTTAAATGTTTATAAAAAGCCTCTTTCTTCTTTCTCTGCTCCTGGGATCATTGCTCTTCCTTCCATCTTAAATATTGCGTATAGGGGGATTAATATTAAGTATTAAAGTCATTTGATCATTAATTATTGCCTATTACTGTGGTTAAGTCCTTCTCGCTAATATAAAGTATTTTCCCAGTGTGAGAATTGGGAACGTTGCTCATTGCTGACCTGGGATCGTTTAATCGTTTCTCAGGAGAACAGTTTGGAAATGATTCCCTGCTGAAGGAGCTGGACTTTTATTTTCCTTTTTATTTCATAGTTAATCGTCTGACATTAAACGGTTGGTGGAATAAAGAGCGGCTCCTGCGCTGCAATAATGAATGTTCTCTGATGTCGGAGAACTGAATCAGTGCAGGAGAACGCAGGATTCCTGCAGGCAGCTGGAATGCTTAAAAAATAATAGAATAGGAAACAAACAGATGAAATTATACGAGGATAAAACAGAAAGTCTACGTTATGAAAGTAGTTCTGCATTAATATATTTAGGGTTTTTCAGGCAACATTAAATGGCAGGAAGGAAATTTTGTCAAATTTCCCAAAACTTGGTTGAATATTTGAGTTTAAATGTGATCTGTAAGGTCTGAACCTTTATTACATCTGTTCCCCGTCAGCCTTAAAAGCCTCACGAGGAAACAATGAACTAAAACCATGAAATGAAAAGTTCTGACTTCCTCAGGAGGAGCCGTTTCCGTCATTATCCCGGGAAAAAACCAGATCATGAGTTTGTTTTCTGGGTCTGAGGGTGAAAACATCGCTGAGCCTATTTGGAAAAAATAACAGCGTCTGAAGAAAACAAGACATTAAGGTCGTTTCAACCTGATTGGAAGATCTGAGGCTCATTTTGCTGCAATCGGAGGTTAATTCAATTATTCCCTGGAAATACGAACCCATGGCTGTTTAGGATAACAGCCGTTAGTTCAACTTTCATTAAAGGAGATTTAATTTAAGAGCAGAACGCTGTGGCCCCATTACCTCAGAGGCCCCATCATCATCATCATCATTATCCTCAGCATCATACTCATCATCTTCATCAGGGTACGACCCGACACAGTTCAAAGAAGGACGTGTCCTTGTCCTCCCCAGGTCCAGGACTAAGAGAAAAGCTGTTCTCCTTGCAGTG